TTTACAGAGAAGACGATACTAAGTTTTCGTCCATTTGTTATATAATTGGACAGTCGGCTTTTAGCGGCTCCGCTCCTATTTTACCCAAAAATCCACACGGCCGCCCTCACTAGTGCTTATTTCCCAAAAACACACCTTCAGGTGTTCCTAAACCTTGCAGGCAAATCGTAAATGAGAATTTCCTGTGGAGCGTTTCATCGAAGTGGCAACGTCTTTTCCACCATAATTAAAGCCGTTAGGATAATCAGTCGTTAATATTCATTTCTCTAACTGTTAGTTCTTGCCATATCTGGGAAACAATCTATGGGCTCGCGTTTTGGGTAAATTCTGATCTATTGAGTCTGCCCTAGGCTTGTTGTTACTGACATGACATCGGGTAATTGCTTTTGTCCATCTTCGACCAGTCACCTCCTTTCGTCCTCCTCATTTACATGCCATTATTCTGAACCTCTCTAGGGACGACGATCCTAGGAAACCCTCGTTGCTTTGAATCTACTGTTCATGCGTGTCTTTCGCTGACTCCTGTTTGTCCGATTTCACATTCTACAGCCTTTGGGTCATTTCATTGGGACAATGTGAGATTTTTCTCTACCTTTGGCCGGGACCTATATGAACCATTATCCGACGTGCAATATATTGAGACAGAAAAATATGCTAAAGTTGCGAAAACTCTGTCACAATGGTTTATAAGACCATTTGACGGGCAGATAATTATTTTTGATAAATTATCATCAAATAGGTACAGAATCATTTAAAAACATGTGGATAATTTTAGATTTCGAGTACTGATGATCTTTTCACACAATTCAGATACGGAGTGATAATACAAAGTGGTCACTTTCGATCTCACGGTTGATTTTGGAGATGTCCATCGTGTGCGCCACAGCAGAGTGAGTGCGTGAATTAGTTTATAATGACATTAGACTTGCACTGCATCTACTACGCTGTCTCCTCCTTGCACACCTACATCCAGTATTAAGAAAGAGGTAGGGAGACTAGAGGTGGCAGAGGGCGCTGGCTCGGATCCCACGTAGTGCGCGTGCCATAGAGCCATTGTAGCCTGACTCTCACTTTATCAATCCACCAGTCCACATAAACGCACACCACTGAAGTGACTGCGAGGTCCGGGTCATCCCGTCAGCTGGCAGCTTTTCAGGCCACAGTTTTGAGCGCGCTGTTATAGCCTCAAGCGCGTCAGATTAACTATAGTGAGGTGAATGCTCTGAGTCGTCCACCTCACCCTCTATTCCCATTCTTAGGCTCCAGTCTACCGACCAAGCCGGTCAGATGACCGATGCCGAAAATGGGTCACTGTCAGTAAACTCGGGCGATGATAGATGCGAGTTTATGGCAGGCAGTAGTTAAGCAACCAGACTCGTGCTTCGCCGCATTTTATTTGCCGGTTCGACATTTACTTTGTCTTCTAGTATTCCTCTCCGACTTCCAAGAAGCACTCAAATTTTAAACGAAGATCTAAATTTCGTCTGTAATTACTGGTCGAACTTGTTGATGAGTAATTTAAATCCACTCGTCAGACTTAGCATATTTTCAATGTAAATATCAGATGGTGGCGAATTCAGCGGAAAATTGTATGGTTTCGCCTGGTTAATTTACAGTACTAGGTGTTAAAACGAACATTCGTTTCAATTTGTGCTATGCTGTTTTAACCGGTTTCACGAAACAAAATTTGTACATGGGAACTCGAAGCATTTTTTGCGCCCAGTCCTGATGTTCTGTGTGCGACTAATAGAAAAACTCTCCTTCAATACCGCAAAGCTGTTTGTAGGACCAACAATTGCAGATTATTGCAGCGAGTCCAAAAGGATATAGAATCTTGACTATGCTACTGTGTATACGACATCCCCCCTCTGTGAAAATGTGGAGCCAGGTCATGCGTGGCATGCGTAGACAGCCACATGCGTCCAATCTCTACATCAGACGGCTGACCGACTCGGACAGCGAACTGGGACATGGGATATGGAAAAGAAAAAGATTTTGACTCAACGAACTTCCTCACTATAAACAATTTTACGCGCTTCAAACTATCACGATGCGCTAAAAGTCGTAAGTTATAAGGCAATCATCTGACAAGATACCTCGACCCCCTCAAGACAGAGAATTAGACTGCAGATGTCGCTTTCTAATTTCCCCAGAAATTACCTACGAACTTGTAGTAGATCAGCTTATTCAAGGTCTATAGTCTCAGTCCGAGAATTTTATGTATGGATATTTGGGCCAAAGTCGATCAGCCTTGAATAAACTGATCTACTCCAACTTCGTAGATAATTTCTGAAAAAAATTAGAAACCGACAATTGTAGTATTTACCAGAAAACACACGGGGAATGCTGGGGGACCCACCGACGAGTCGAACCCCTCGCAGCTGCGCCATGCGGCAGCAGAATATCGGCGATACAGGCGTGTATGGGCTTTTGACTAGTACCTGTGCTGTTAGTATGGTATCACCTTACCCTAAAGTAGACCGCAGTTGTTCCCTCTTACTATACCCCTATGACACTCTCACTCGGGAGGCTGTCGAGTAAGCCACTTTCTGTTTCTGTGAAAATCCTGTCCATCGTGCACGAACCACGCGTATGTGACGCGCGTAGACTGGCCTAGTTAGCTTCGGTAGCCATTGCATCCGAACTCGCCCCCAGCCTCCCTGACACTGTCTTGACACAGGTCTTATGTGGATGCGGGAGGGAGGAGGATTCAGTAGATGTAACGCAAGTTCCCTGTCATTATGAACTATTTCACGCGCAAGTTCTCGTCCCTGCGTCCACCCTGCTAAGAAACACACTAGGAGAATCGCCGGATACGACGGTCGAACTGTCCCGTACCTATTAACGAAGCGAACATATACCACATTGCGTATTTACCGCCAGCGAATCTACTGCGACCTGTAAAAATAGCCTCTTGTATTGCTCAATACTCTAAACACACCTTCGCTTATCGACTTTGAATAGCGCTACGTTTTCATTCTCAGGTTTGATGCACATTTATCCCCTTACTTTATTTGAGCAGGAACAGTCGCCGATGTTGTTTGTAGATTAGTAAGTTAAAGTATGTTCTTCTCATTTTAAAGGTCTGTATGCCGGATGACCGAAAGATCTTTAAAAAGCGAAGATGAGATCACTGGAACAAGAAATTTATTGGCCTGACGTTTCGGATTCTCACTCGAATCAATCATCAGAGATACTCGCAGATAAAGGTAATGGTGGCACAAGGAATGCAGTATTTATAGCACGTGGCTGTCGTGAGAGCATATGCGCACTGTAATTAACAGCTCTCGCAATCACCGCTGGGATCGTAATTGATGCGATGGTGGCTTGACAGTCCGAATCCGAGTCGGTAATGGCCGTGATTTCGTCATCTGTGCTGGATGCTGGTGTGATAATTGCTCGGCAAATTGGTTCACTGCCCCAACCCCCCCCCAAACGTGACTGATTCTCCTGCCCAGAGAAAATCTCAGCACCGATATGGTACGGGGAGGTCATTGCGCTTGTTGATGGATTCCGGCCCTGAGAACCACCACTCGAGCAGCTGCGGCTCACGCGGTTTTCACCCCTTGCGAGGATTTCGGCCTCTTGACATTTGAAAATATGGCCGGGTCCCGTCGGCCGCGTATTCCAAACAGCTTTTCCTTCACACACAATTACTAGACCTCGTCGCCTGCGCATTCCGTAGCCAAACCTGAAAGAACTCCTATTACCATCGGTCCCCTATTACAGGCGGCTGGGGTTTGTTTACTTTATGTGGGGCTAAAAAACCACATCTGACCCATTAGTAAAACATTTTCATTGTCGTCCGCACAAAAATGTGGGATAGAATGTAATGTCAAAAGTTCGAAAGTTTCGTCAGTGCAGGTGCATTAGCACGCTGAGTGTATGGCAATAACTCATGAATGACAGTTTCCTTGGTCCGATAGTTTGACCGTCGCGTTCGACTATGTCTACCGAGTTCCCCACTGCACGGTGAAAATAGCGACAAGTAACTTGCGCGCAGATTAGTTTATACTGATAGTATACTTGCGCATCATCTACCGCACTCTCCCCCTCCCCACTCCACACCTAGACCCGGTGTCAAGTCAAAGTGAAGAAGACCGGAGGCAGGGGGAGAGCGCAGGTGACTGGAACGGCCGGAGCCGCACCTAGGCGTGCCACCACACCCCCTGGCTCGCAGTCCACCAGTCCGCCACTCCACACAGACACAGACTCCGCTGGACGGATTGCGTGGACTGAGTTGGGGCGCCAGTCGGGTCCCTGCCGAGCCACGGCGTCCGACGACCCGTGGCGATCTCCGACTCCGATCACACATGCAGCTGAGGAGTCGCATAGAGAAGGAGCCGGTACGCATGCTTCCCACTTGCGTGGGAGATGACGGTTGGGTGTTTGATGTGGGTAAGACTGATGTGCGGTGAGGTGCTGATAGGGGAGGATGTGATGGTGTGATGTAGCCGGCGGTGGTCTACCGCGGTTTTTCGTGGCTGCGCATGTGGCCTAATAGACCCATTCGGTGAATAAATGTGCGAGTGCAATGTGGACAGTGGAGGCGGATGCAGCAAGTATACGTTGGTGCTCCGGGCACTGGTTCGCCAGTCTCTGTGCGATGGATTCGCAAGTGACCGACCAGGCCGATGTGTGAGGTGATTGTGCGGTGAGAGTGTGGACATGAGAGGTCAACGGTGTGGCGTCAGATTCGGTGGTGATGGTGGCGGTGGGCGCACTAGGTGATGGGGTATGGGCTGGGCTGGGCACAGTGGGTGGACGAGGTGTACTGAGTGTGGTGGAGCTGGTGGCAGTGGGCGCGCTGGTCTGAGGAGCGTAGGTGGGGTTAGGTATGGTGGGTGTGCCAGGGGTCGGTCAATTCCACTTTCGTGGATACGCATGCGGCCGAATAAGCCCATGCGGTTCATGAATGTACGAGGGCAGCGTGCACAGTGGTGGCGAATGCGGCGGGCGTAGGTTGCTGCTCCAGGCACTGGTTCGCCAGTCTCTGTGCGATGGATTCACAATTGACCGACCAGATCGATGTATGGAGTGAAGATGCGGTCGCAATGAGGACAGGTCTAGACCCGGTCCTCACCACTGGTGTCGACGGTGGTGGTGGTGGTGGTGGTGGTGGTGGTGGTGGTGGTGGTGGTGGTGGTGGTGGTGGTGGTGGTGGTGGTGTTTGCTGGCGTGTCGGGATTGTGCGTCATGCTGATGTGCGTGACAGACGCAACAGCGTCAGACGTTGAGGCGGTGGAGGAGGAGGAGGCTGGTAGTGGTGGTTTAGGGGACGGCCAGAGTTAGTTGACGGCGTAGAGGGCAAGGGAGAGGAGGACGTAGAGACGACAGTTAGTGCAGTCCGAAGGCTGCAGTTGGTACGAAGGTGTCCAACAAGTCCAGTTGGCGCCTGGAATGTCCACTGACATCGTGGACACGTTGAGGATGGTTGGTCGTTGGCGTTTTAGGTGGGTGTAGCTGATATTTACGGACATCTCGTTTGGCTTTCGCGACAGCGATGCGGTTTGCCTCGTAGATCGCTCCGCCTGTCTTCAATGTCCTTCTTCAGGTCAGTAGGTCACAAGCGAGATCATACCAGTTGACCGGGTTGATCTGCAGACGCCTGAGGGATGTCTTTAGAGTGTCTTTGTATCGACGGATTTAGCCTCCTTGTCGGCGGGAACCCGTTGCGACATCTCCATATAAGAGTCCTTCAAGTAGCCGCTCGTTGTTCATCCGCACCAGGTGGCCGCCCCAACGCAGTTGTGGTCATCTCAGCACGGCGGAGATGCTGAAAATCTCCGTCCGCTCCAGTACCTCAGTGTCGGGGATTCGGTCTGGCACCTCAGTTTCAGTATTCGACGAAGACAACTGAGGCGAAAGTGGTTGAGTCTGCATGCCTTCTGCATCTACACCGCCCAAGTTTTTGATTTATACAGCGACGCCGGGAGGATGATGGCCTTGTACATCTTCAGCTCCGTGCGAAGCTGAAGACCATGGAGATTCAAAACTATGTTTTGAAGACGACCGTAGGCTTGACTGGCTTTGGAAATCCCGCGGGCCACTTCGTCGTTAATTTTGGCGCTGCGGGAGAAGGCACGGCCCAGATACGTGAAGTTGTCCACCACTTGCAGGTGGGTTCCGTTCACGCTGATTTGCGGGTCATTGTGGGGGGCTGTGTTGGGTGGCGGTTGGTGCATGACCACCGTCTTCTGCATGTTAATAATTCGGCCGAAGTTCATGCAGGCGTCGGAGAAGGGGTCTGTGCTTCTTTACATGTGCCTTTCTGAGTTGGTGTTGAGGGCTCAATCGTCGGCGAAGATACGTTCGTGGACGGTGGTTGTGTATACACGCGACTGGAAGTGCATCCGACTGTGGTTGAGGAGGTGGCCGTCCGTCCTGTAGGCGATGCGGATCCGGGGTGTTCGTCATGGTAGGAGTCCATCAGCATGGCAGAGAGCATAAGACTGGATAGGGTGGGCGTTGGTCACTGCGAATGCCTCTGAGATAGTTCCGTTGTCCGTGACTTGCGCCATCATGCCATCGTGAAGCCGACGCACCATCTGAGTTAATCGTTCGAGACAGTCGAATTTCTGCATGATTTTCCAAAGGCCTTCGTGATTCACCGTGTCGAAGGCTTTTGCCAGACCCCGAAGGTATAGTAGAGGTGGGTCCGCATCTCCTGGTTTTTTTCCTGAATTTGGGGGGCGGCGAAGATCATGTCCGTGGTCCCACGATGACGGCAGAAGCCGCACTGGCTTTCCAGCAGAAGACCTTGTTGCAGGTGATTATTCAGGCGGTTGAGAAGGAGGCGAACGAAACTCTTCCCAGCGATGTTCAGCATGAAGATGCCTCGGGGGCTGTCGCATAGCTGGCGGTTTCCTTTCTGCTTGTATAAATGCCCGATTTTGGCGTCTCTGAAATCTCTCGGGACTTCTTTTTGACGTCACATCGCCTGGAAGAGCGCCGTCAGATTATCCATGAGTTTGGGGCCATCGTGCTTGTAGATCTCAGCAGTCATCGCGTCCGATCCGGGCGCTTTCCCGCTGGAGAGCTGATGCACTGCCCTGGTTTCCTTGGTAATGATTAGAATAATGACGCGGACGAAGGAGGGGCGTGTTCCGATGGCACATGTAGCTGACAAATCTGCACAATTTTGTTCGATTCTTGAGCAGGACGTGTTTGATTGAGTTTTTTTATGATGAAATCCATTTCCATACAGGACATGAAGTCAGCATCTGAACTTATTGACGCAGGAAAAAATGCAAGGTGATTTCAAGTGGTAATTCCGAGACTATTGCATTCATGTACGTCTAGCAGTTCGGTTAGGACTTGTGATTATCGGCCCCAGTTAGGTGGGTGTACAGGCTCTGCGCTAGGTAGATATTGCACCGCCTGTGCGCTCAGTGCCCTAAAACGCGGTAGATGCGTTGGAGCAACATGAAGGTGCCAGATCACGGCCGGATGAACCAATAAAAAGTGCCACACATGAGGGTGTGGCAACCCGCCTCGGTGCAGACTCACTCTACGTTGGCCATCTGCGACCCCTCCTGCCCGCCGCACCTTCGTCATTACGCTGCGTTTATACTGCTGTGAGACACGTGCTAGACAATGTCGGAGTCGACGGTTAGACAGTATGTTGCTGTCCCTTAAATAGGGCTTTCTGTCTGAACCCCAAACGTTATCCGAGTGAGATTTCCTGGATGGAGACGAATGTTCGTATTTCAGGTATACGTATGAGTAAGGAATGAGAGGACTGATCGAGCAACAAAACCATTTGGATATCTGTCTACTTTTCCGAATTCGTGGAGAAGTCCATCGCCAGAGGTAAAAACGGCAATAGAAAGAATAACAGTTATAGGGGGATATTAGTTGATCAATGATCAACGACACAGGTCTGGAGGTGACTGCGCAGAGCTCTGTAGGTCGGCGCAGGACCGGCACACCATTTGACCGAACTCTCATTGGAGACTTTGGCTTCAGTTACTTATCGGCCTGTCCTGCTCCGACCTGGACACCTATCGTAGTGGATGTAATGTCAAACTCGTTTTTCAGATATCGATTTCTCCTCCTTAGTTGCTTCTTGGAACTGGCCTTTTGCTTTTACCTTCTTTATATGTGTATGGTTTTATTTTGGCAAAACCTTTCGCGTATGCAATCATGTCAATGCCCTTCCAACATTATACCACCGGAGTTTGGCCATATTCGCTTTACATTCAGTAGGTCGGGAACATATCATTGGACACTGGCAAATTAAAATTACAATATCTCACCATCTGTTTCTATTTTTGCTACTTTTCCTCAGATTTTGTTGAACTGGTAAAATGCTTGTAAATGTTTACCACCTTATATCTGGCATTTTTTAAGCACGTTCTATTTTTCAAAGCCTCCTCTCTCATTTGCTGTTCTTCGCAGTCTTTCAAGGAGAAACTGTGCTTTGACAAATTAAACCGATTTTCTCATTTTCGCAGAAACTCTAGAGACCTGAACTCAACAGCTA